TTAATAAGCTTTTATAAGACATGAGATAAACAGGGCAACTGTGACCGGTTGCTTGCCAAATAGTGAGCCCATTTATCTGTACTGCTAAGGCTTATTAGAAATGGTAGTAACTCATTGTGGGAATGTGTTTTACACTTTACAATAAGGCTCCCTTTTGGCAACTATACATGTTAGTAACTCATAAATAAATGGTCATAAAGAGATGCCAAGAAACATCAAGATGGATGGGGGGGAATCAACTCTGTGAACAACAGATACCAAGGATGCTGGCTGATGAAGAAGACGAAGTAAGCTACTAGTCATCTTGCCAAATAGTGAGCATCTGTTGATGTATGAAAACTATTTTAGAACTGGTTTATAAATGCTTCTTAATGATTAATAAAGTGTTTACAACCTAATAAATAACCTAATTATAAGCCCTTTATGAATCCTTTATAAGAGTAGTCTTATTGTAAAGTGGTACCTTATTCTGAAAGATGTTTTATTTTGAAAAACGACCGGATACATCCATCTGTGCATCTGTGTCTCTTGAGACATGTCAATACCATAGGTCAAGAATCAGAATTAGAATCAGGTTTATTACCAGGTAGGTTCACACGTACGAAGAATTTGACTTGATGTCGTGGTGCATACATAAAAATAGACGCTCGTCTCAGTCACGTGACACTTCTCTCTGCTGAGCTCCGTGTGTTTGTTGGCCTATGTTTGTCTGTCGGACACCGATTCTCGTTTCAAGAAGATATTTTGATCGTGATATTTTAGCAGCGGAGCTCATAAAATGTAGACCATAGCCTGATGTTTACCGAAGACAGGAAATATATGTTCCGGCTGTGATTGGGTGTTTGCGTCACTTCAAAAGTGGCGCGCATTGCCGCTTATTGTCTTACTTGAAACCGGTCCAAACAAAGTTAGGGACCGCTGGTTGAGAAGATACGAGGGGTTTTTCAAATAACCGTTTCTGAAGCAGTGTCTAACGCACCACCACCTCTTACTTGCCAACCTTTAGACCTCAGAAATCGGGAGCATTTAAAAATGCAAATGGAGGGGGGGGGGAGGGGTGCTAGTGGATCGCCGGAGCTGTTAGATTAACATTAACATGCTTATTGTGGTTGTAAGTGCACTGCCTTGCGGCCTGTAGCACCGTCCTTGATGGAGCATATGTGTGGGCAGGAAAGGAGTGAGCAGAGAGTAGAGTAGTTGTCGATTCTTGTTCTGTTTTCTGTGAATATCTTCCTCACCCTCTCAGACGTTCAGTTGCGCGCGCTACTAAAGAGACGTGTTACCATGGAAACCAAACAATGGTGTAGCTATATTAAAGTCCGAGT